GATCATCGATAAAGATATTGAACAAGACTGGAGATACTGAACAAGACTTGGTTATGCTTTGTAGGTAGTGGTCTTAAACCAAATGGTATAATCTTAGTTAAATTTCAAGCAGAATAATGAAGGAAGCCCTTCATTAGTGGTTGTTCCTCCACTGGAAACATGTGAATGTCTTGGGATTTGGAGAGACAGAAGGTCTGTCACTGTGTGCAAAAGGGCAGAGGAGTATTAGAAACTGCAAGGAGTGAACCTGCAGTGTGAAAACATCATTGCTGAGAAGACTGGGACTAACACCAAAGTGTCTTAAGGAGTCTTAGTATCCGCTGGCACCTGTGAGTTTCCTTTACCTCTGGCAGCTACCAAGTAGCTCCACTGAAGCCAAATATGGAAAAAAAAACTTGTCTGTGAGATACTTGGTCTGGGCCTTGTCTAAGGCTCATTTTCCTCCTAGAGTGGAAATGGAAAATGTTTCAGCAAGTTATTTTTTTGCCTCCTGGTGTACTCCCTCAGTATTAGCTAGTTCTGTTTTATGTTTAGCCTGTGGCAGTGCAATCAACACCCAAAATCTGTGAAGGAAGTAGCAGGAAATTACAGCTCAGCTCAGAGGAGGAGCCTCTTTGTACTCTGAAGCAGTTCATATAAGATTTTGTTGTTGTTTTCTGCCTTCCCCCCGGTCCCTTTTTGCCGTAGCATAACAGTTGCAGTAGAGTTTAACAAACTGTGAACCATCTCAGTATAGTAACATAATTCTACTGATACCACCTGGAACAACTAAGTGGTTTATAATGTGTTTCTTTGCTTTCTCACAGAGGAGTTACTGTCATCCCAAGAAAAATCTCCATGTACCAAGGATGTCATAGTAAAAGTGGATTATAGCAAGAAGGCTGAGACAGACACTTCTATAGCTTTTGCTCCATCATCTAGTGAAAGAACTCCCACTCTACATAAAGGTAACTGGCTAGTTATCAATGAAATTCGATTTCTTGCTCTTTCTCTCTCTCATTCCCGCTTCAGTTCCTCTCTCCTCTCACCAAGGAATTATTTAAGGGATTTTTGTGTCTGTGTAACAGAAATGTGTCATGTTTTTCTAGCCTGTGATGTCTAATCACTTAAGTACTTCGGTTTAGACCTTACCAGTATGTAAAATAAATCTTTCATGTGTAGTCCTCTAAATACAACAGGTGGTAGACAATGACCTGCAATGGATTTTCTTTGCTAATGAGATTGACAGGCGCTAAAAATAGCTTGAGAATAGCACTACACATCTATATATTAAGTGTGATATGAAGGCTGCTAAATTTATGAAGGTTTTTTCACATCAGACTAGAATATTATGCATGCTAACAAACACAAATCATTCGGGATACTTTGACATGACAATAATCAACTTCCCTCTTCTTTTTAAAGTAAAAGCTTGGAGTGACTTAACTATTACGTAAGCAATGTGATTTTTTTTTTTTTTAAAGTACAAATAAATCTCAGGATCTTGTAGACTGTCTTTGTGTACTTTTCTTTGTATGAAAATCCATTTCATTCTACATCTTTATTTTCTAATTTTTTTTTTATATACCCTAGTAGTGTTTTCATTAACATCACAAAGGAAATTAACCTTTTTATTTTGTATCTTTAAAAATCTTCCAGAGGAGGACGAGGATGGAAAGACTCCAACACAACCACTGTTGAAAAAAGGCAGGCATTTTCCACGTTTTTGTGTTAAATCATTCTTTCGCATTGTTAATTTCAGTTCTCCTTTTGTATTCCTTTCTACACATATATATATATGAGAGACAGGAAAGTATCAACCATGCAGCGTTAATTTGTTTCTTCATATCTGATTTGGGATGTGCTTCATCTTTAGGGATTAGGCTATGGAAAAATGCAACTTTGTGGAAATTCCCAGAACAAGTTGCTACTGAGAAAGAATTGTGCATGTGTCCAAGATATGAATGTTGGAATTTTTTTTAAGTTGTGTTCTTAAGTAATACTTGAAGGGTGTTCTGGAGCTTGCTTAGTTCTCTGTGTCTCTGGTACCTGTCTGGCCCTTACTTGATCTAGGAGTAAAGGAAATATTTTCTAATGGTATAGTGGAAGTGCTCCATCAGTCTGTTCAGTAGATCTCCTGAAGCTATAGTTGTTACTCTGTTAGTTGGAACTGTTCAATAATTTGCAAATTAAGGCATAATATAGCCAATCAGTGAGATTAACATCTGAAATACTGCAAAGTAGTCATTCAAACAAACAGCATTTTGAGAGATCAGCTGAGCAGTTTTCAGTTCCTGGTTTATTTCAGACTTTTTTGAGTTAACGAAATATTTTTGCCTTAACTAAGATTCATCTAACTTTTTTGACATTTTCCTCATAATGTCAACAGCTAGAAGCTGTTGTGTTTTAATAATGGAAAGTGAGATTACATCTTGAAGCACAAGATGGCAGTTTGGAAGAAGTCCCAGTATGCAATAAAGTAGTATATTAATGTAAATCAGTCACAGATGTACTCTACATTTAAAAATTCCTAATAAAATAAGGACTGAGATGAATATCAGACTCCTGGCTCTTGTTCAAACTGAGGTTTTAATTAAGGGAAAGGGGCTATTTTTTTCTGTAGCTGTATTAATCTAATTGAAAATGCCATTGTTGTTTTGTTCTCAGTGAATACAATAACTTTGTTACAAAGTAGTCTATATTGTACTTCAGAGTCTTGCATACAAAAACAGTACTTGTTGCAAAAACCAGAATTCCAATATGCAGAACTAGCTTTTAATTTCACCACATGCTTAAATAAAAATGCATTTATGGAAAGAAGAAAAGTGCTTAGGACATGATATTTCTTCGTAAATTAGTATTTACATATTTTTAGGGAAGTTTTGTCATATGCAAGAGGTAGCAACAGTGCATGACCTAATGCTCTCAAGTATGCATGTAAGGTTAGTTAAATTGTCTAGGCAAATGACTTTATAAAGATCTTATAGATCCTTTATTTGTCAAATGTCTGCTAAATGACTTTGAGGTTTAAGTCTTTAACTTCTGAAGTTAGGAGTTTGCAGACTCCCTAAATATAGCTCAGCTTATAGCCTTTCAATCAACATTTGGAGTTGGGTTGAGAGGGAAGAAACAGTTTTTATTTAAACTTAGACATATCACAAAATATTAAGAAGCTGCATTTGATTAATTTCAATGTGATTAAGCAAAACAGTTAAAAAATGAAATTTCATTATACTTTTTTCCAGATTCAAAGAGCCCATCTTCTCCTTTAAACTTGGCTGACCAAAGACTTCTTGATGCTAGTACTCAGTTTCAGAAGAAACAAGGCAAAAGCAATATTGATGTCTGGTGGCTCTTTGATGATGGAGGTAATGTGCTTTATACTTTAAAAACTAATGTTGAACACCATTGTTAATGTGATTTTGAATTGTTAATAGATGTCTTTCAGTCAGTTCATAAATAGATTACGGATTTGTACTATTAACTCTTAACACAGTGCTGTTTTCTGAATCATTCCCAAATTCTGGTCAAAATTCAGGTTTGACACTGTTGATTCCGTATCTTCTTACAACCAAGAAGAAATGGAAAGACTGTAAGATCAGAGTTTTCATTGGTGGAAAAATAAATAGGATTGATCATGACAGAAGAGCGTAAGTTTACCTTTAAAAATTTCATTTCAAATATGCTAATAAAGCATATTACACAGTAGATTACTTTCTCTTCCTAGTAACCTTCTTTCAGTTGTTCTTTGGTTGAGGTGTAATCACATTCTATTCCCTTTCTCCAAAAAATATTCCATTTCCTCCAGATTGTTTTGGATGAGATACCTCAAGTTAAACTAATTTTTCTGCAGCATTGTCTTGACACTAACATTTTTTTTTTCAAATATTTTCTGAGGTTGTCTTTAAGGGAGAGGTCTTCTCTTAGTGTTATGGTTTTGTAATGTGTTTTTTTTCCCCAAAGCATGTTGTTGATTTATAGCCATATGCCAGGTCAATTTGATTTTTTTTTTCCTATTACACTTAAGTTGCCTCCCCCACTCCCCCAACCTAGTGTTTTTATTATCAAACACCTATAAGTTTACCCTGTGAAATAATTAAAATTCTGATCATGCATAAAGGCTTGTTTTTCTGATACAGGATGGCTACTTTGCTCAGCAAATTTCGGATAGACTTCTCGGACATTATGGTTCTTGGGGATATTAATACTAAGCCAAAGAAGGAAAAGTAAGTCTCAAATAACCCAACTTGTTTGTTAGTTGAACACTCTATGTCTTTCATTAATTTAGACTACTTCATTCTTTCCTGTATAACAGTTTTGATAGAGTAGTTCCTATGACATAGTGTTTCACAAAGATACAGGAAATAAATTAAGCAGTAACTTCTACATCCAAGAGTACAGAATTTTGTATTTTTTAAATCTCTGGTCCTTAGACTGTAGCACTAAATTTAGAAAAATATTCTCTAAAAAATGCAATTTGTCTGGAGCAGTCTTCTTTAAAAAGAGACGTGCTCACAAAACCTTAAATGGTCTTTATCTTACTTCAAGTCTTAGTTTAATGTAACAAAGCTTGGTCTTCAAATAGGTTGATCTATATTTTCTTTTTTTTTAAATTGCTTGGACTTCTAATTTACACAGGAATGATCATACATGTGATATTTGTGGTTTTAAAGTTCAAAACATATTAACTGTAGATGGCTTTCAGTACAAATTTATAACAGCACGTGTAAGATCTAAAAATATTATTCTCCTTTCCATTCCAAGTTGTCTTTAGTATGTTGAAGTTGTAAAAATACCTTTTGCATGGATATGCATAATTTGACATCTGAATAATTTGACATCATGCAAACTAGGAAATGCTGTTTTACAACTTAGGTAAATGGTAAATGCTAATATGAATTTTTTTAACACCTTGCTTTTTAATCACATTTTCTTAAATGTATAGACTATATCAAGGCACTAAATCGGTAGAGTACTTCTGGCACTCTGACTTTTTTTTTTTTTTGATATCTTTGCTTCTCGGAGCCTGCTACTGTAAAATGTGTGAACTTAGAGGTAGCATGCAGTTATGCATAAAAAGCTGAGACTGTAGAATTACATGGAATTATTTTTATTTTGTAGAAGTGATCCATGAGTTATTTCTTCTGAGAGCATTTTTTTTTGTCTCTGTGGAAGAGATACATTCCCCACAATCCAAAACCTTTCTAAGATACCAGTGAGCACTAACAATACCTGCAAACTAAGTGTACGATGTTTTATTTTCAACAGTTGCTGTGCTGTGTAATAGAATATTATTAATACTTCCTTTTGTTCAGACAAAAAATAGCAGATCACATTTGGTTTTTCCTTTTTAATGAAGGTGAACTAACTTAAGCAAAGACCACAAAGGGTAGAAAAAAAGATGGGGTTTTTGGTAGTGGGAGGGTTTCCTGGAGGAACAAGAATCTCAGTTAGAAAATGGGCACAGACAGAGTCTTTAACTATACAGAAGCTACCATGTTACACATACTGATATTACAATATATCCTAAGAGGTATTCCTTAATGTTTTTTAAACTTTCCCACACTGTAATTTGCAACCACAGAAGACTGGCACTACCTTGTCATATTTATAAAAAAACATTCCAATACCATCAAAATGCAGTTAGTTCATTGGATGTAAGGCCATACATTTCAGTTTGTTCCCCTAAAAATCTTATTTTCCTCACATCTCACATTGTGGGGCTATTCAAAACAAGTTACTTTCATAACTTGTGGCAGTCTTTGTTTGCTGTTCAAGTATTCTAATGCGGTAAGAGAAAGTAGGGTAATATAAGTTGTTCATTCTAGTAGAAATGATTGCCTCTTTGGTCTTCAGAAGGTTTTCTTTTGAAGTTCTTGCTAAAGTTCAAGTAAATTCAAAGTAACACCTCATATTCTAACAAGTACAACAGAAAGACTAAACAAGGTGGCTGTGGTTACTTGTATTTGAATGTGGCTCTCAGACTGTACTGGAAAGATTAAAAAGAAGCAAAATAAAAATATCAAAGCCAAAACCTTAAAGGCACTAGCATGAGACTTGATAGCTATTTTTTTTTTAGTGTGACATACCAACTCTCTTTCAAATTTGATTCTGAAGAAGCTACTGTGAGTTACTATACGTTTTATAAGATAGTACTTTTCAACTTTCAAACAATTATAGTAAAACTCTAGCAAAAGTTGTCTGGTTTGTTTTTTTAACGGCTAAAACTTTATATTTAGTTGCATGATGAACAGTGAAAGCTCCTACAAGTGTCCCTAACTGTTTGTTGAGTTACAATATCTGCCTATACAAATAGCTGATTTGATGTTCTAACTACAATTGGCAGTGAAAAAATTTCAGCCCACTTTATTTTTACATGGTGACGAAAACTTGCTTTCTGATACCATTTAAGTCATTGGTGACATGTAGACCCATATCTGTTTTAATATGGCTGTTCACTTAATTGTTTCAGTATTGCAGCTTTTGAAGAAATGATAGAGCCCTTCCGACTTCATGAAGATGATAAAGAACAAGAAGTTGCAGATAAAATGAAGGAGGATGAACCATGGAGGATAACAGATAATGAACTTGAGCTTTACAAAACAAAGGTTCTGTATTCTTTAGAGTGTTATGTTAAATGTTGTTGAACTTTTTTCTCCTACTGCCTTTGTGGATGTGATATCAGTAAGTTAATTCTTGTTATTCTCTCTTCCATAGCTGTCTTTATGAATAGCTGATGGAAAGGAGCATTTAAAACCTTTTAAGTGGTTCACCAAAAAAAAAGAAGAAAGAAATGTTTCTGCATTTGGGGAGGGTGGGGGCTAAATGGCTTTCCTACAGTATTTCAGCAGTTAATTTAGAAGAATATGGTCTATATTCAGCTGTTTGTTTGACTTTTTTTGACCAAACTAACATTTTTTTGCTTCATTATTAGAAAAAAACCCAACAATACACCACATCTAATTGTGGTGTTATGGAGCAGTTAAAGGGTTGACATTTTTTCCCCATGCAGTTGTGCAGCATAGATGCATCAGAGGTATTCCTTCTCAAGTGCTTCTATGGAGGAGACTTGGGTAGCATACTGTAACAGGATGCAGATGCAGACAAGTATATAAAGAAAGACTACTTAAAGTTTCAGTGATCTAGAGTTCTAAGTTTTTCAAGATGGTCCCGAGTATATTCCACCCTTATCTTCTTTTTCCTGTCTGGGTTTTTACAACTTACGTGAGGATTTGCAGTAGAGCAGAAATGGGAATGGTTGTTCTGCATTGTAAGGGGGGGAAGCAGGAATCTGTTTAACAGGTAGGTACAGATTGACTGGCAGCTGCTGCATATTACCAAGGAGCTGGGGGGGGAGATTTCATAAAGGTCAGTTATTTTATCATTAATGATAAATTTATCATTACTTTATCAAGACTTGATTGCCTTGCTGTTTTTCAAACACCACCAAAACTCATTTCAGTCAAAGTGATTTATTCTTTTGTCTACTGATACCTTAACTGTTTTTGTGGAAACTAGCGTGCAGGCTAACTAGACTTCAGCTCATCTAAGAACAACAGAACTGTGAGAAATCATGGAATCGTAGAATACTTTGGTTGTAAGGGGCCTCTAAAGGTCATCTAGTGCAACCCCTCTGCAAGGAGCAGGGACATCTTCAACTAGATCAGGTTGCTCAGAGCCCAGTCCACCTTGACCTTGAAAGCTTCCAGGGATGGGGCATCTACCACCACTCTGGGCAACCTGTGCCAGTGGTTCACCATCGTCAGTGTGAAAAATTTCTTCCTTCTATCTAGTCGAAATCTACCCTCTTCTAGTTTAAAAACATTACCCCTTGTCCAATCACTACAACAGGCCCTGCTAAAAAGTCTGTCCCCATCTTTCTTATAAGCCCCCTTTAAGTACTGGAAGGCTGCAATAAGATCTCCCTGGAGCCTTCTCTTCTCCAGGCTAAGCAACCTCAACTCTCTCAGCCTTTCTTCACAGGAGAGTTGTTCCATCCCTCTGATCATTTTTGTGGCCCTCCTCTGGACCCTCTCCAACAGGTCCATGTCTTCCCTGTGCTGAGGGCTCCAGAGCCGGACACAGGACTGCAGGTGGTGTTTCACCAGAGTGGAGTAGAAGGGCAGAATCCCCTCCCTTGACCTGCTGGCCATGCTTCTTTGGATGCAGCCCAGGATGCAGTTGGCCTTCTGGGCTGTGAGCGCACATTGCTGGCTCATGTCCAGCTTTTCATCCACCAGTACCCCCAAGTCCTTCTTGGCAGGGCTGCTCTTGATCCCCTCATCCCCCTGCCTGTACAACAACTGCCACAGGTTGCCCTGACCCAGTTGCAGGACCCTGCACTTGGTCTTGTTGAACCTCATGAGGTTCACAGGGGCCCATTCCTCAAGCCTGCCCAGGTCCCTTTGAATGGCATCGTGTCCCTCAGGCGTGTCAACCACATCACTCAGCTTGGTGTCGTCTGCAAACTTGCTGAGAGTGCACTCGATCCCACTGTCTGTCATTGGTGAAGATATTAAACTCTGCTAGTGGTTAACTCAAAATGTTTGCTAGAAAGTTAGTTGACATAAAAAAGAACGGAAAATTACTGAGGAAGCTACCTGAGGTTTAAGATAGGATAGGGTAGTAAAAAAAGGGAGGCCTGTTACGAAGATAGGGTTACCAAATGGAGATGGGGCTTCACTTCTGTAAGACCTGCTCACTATAAGTTTGTAAGATATAGTTAAAAGAACCGTGAAGAGATCATAAGAGGGCTCTTGCTTCTAGGTGCTGTGGAAGATGGTATTATTGGAGGAACTATCTTAAAATTAGCTTTCATAGTACTTGGCTTGTTTGCACATTCTAAGCTTACTGCTTTATCTCCCAGTCTGGCAACCATAGGTGTTCTGGAAAAGTGAATGAGTTGCCAAACTGAGGTGGCAGTACATGCTTTCTGTAAATGACTCGTACCAATTGATCATAACTGTTTTTAATTTTTCTTGAATAAATTAACTTTTTGTAGTTTATATAAAAGATCTTCCTAAAAAGTTTCATTTTAATTACAGACTTATCGCCAGATTAGGCTAAATGAGTTGCTGAAAGAACATTCAAGTACAGCTAACATCATTGTCATGTAAGTAAATGATTTGTACTGTTACTGTAATTGAGATAGAACTGTAATTTGAAATATATGTAAATACAGGTTAGGCAGAAGCCTGTGCCTTGGCATTAAAATACAGAATTACGGAAGAATGTTTCAGTGCTGAAAGTGTTTATTAGAAGTATGGAGCTACTATAGAAATGAATAAAAAGGCCTGTGTAGTTTCGTGGTTCTGATACACTGCTTCAGGTGATTACTTCCACATTTGTAGTGCAGCTCAGGATTCTCACATTCCTTCCACTCCCGCATGCTACCTATTCCCCTCTTTTTCAGGTCCTTCCTTTCAGTTCTTTTTCTAGGAAATCTCTCCAGATAAAGTTAGATCATCATCCTGCTGTTGGATTTCCATGGAATTACTTTTGGTCTAAATAAGCAGAACAGAGATTGTAGATTTCTTTGCTGTGTTTTTCTTCAGGAGCCTGCTGCAGAGCTCCATGAAGTAGTGCTACAAAGGAAGTTTGAGTAGGGCAAATAGACTTACAGTAGTTCTTTCGAAATAAAAGAGTTTGGGCATGTTTTGGGGGGATTGTGAGAAGGAATATTAGACTGCACCAACCTGGCATTGTAAGGAAAAAGCTGTATTTTAAAACCTTGAAGAGTCTTTCAAGAAACTCTCTTGGGTGGAGGAGAATTCTCCATTAAGCTACCTCAACACGAAATGGTGGTAAGAGGCCAAAAGTGAGGGGTGAATAGATGTAAAGGCCTATGGTGCTTAAGATATGAAGTCTCAACTAATTAACTGAATTCTGAGGAAATAGAAACTAAAAAGGTTAGGAAATTTGACTTAGTATCTACCTCTTTGCAGATTCATACTTTCATATTTATGTGATACGACTTGTACTCCACCAGATTTTTCTAATTGTTGAATGCTTTTTCTTTTCTTGTGAATTGTAGGAGTTTGCCAGTTGCACGAAAAGGTGCAGTTTCTAGTGCACTATACATGGCCTGGTTAGAAGCTCTTTCTAAAGATCTGCCACCAATTCTCCTTGTTCGTGGGAATCATCAGAGTGTTCTTACCTTCTATTCCTAAGAGTACTACGCATAGGACAGCTACAATGAAATGGTACTTCAGTGCCCAGGGGAGAGTGACTGACATGGTCTATAGTTTATTAACATCACAAAGGCAAAAAGTGACTCTTCTTTCACTATTTCACTGACTTGAAAGCACACAAGGAAAGTCACTGTATTTCTAAAGTTGTGACATCTTCAGTTTTATTCTATATTTTCTGTAATTTAATCTTGCTTAATGGGGGAGGATTCCTTGTTAGAATGAGGAACAAGACAAGCTTTTTGTTTGCTATTTGAATAGCAGCAATAAAATGTTTTATTTTTGATCAATGAAAGGATTATAGATTTATAAAAGCCTTTTAGCCTTGAGGTGCCTTCTGAAATTAACCAAATCTCATCCATACATCCTATTTTGTAAATTTATATAGAATGTCAAAATCTGCCTTCAACCAAGAGTTTAGATCAGACTTCCTTTAGTTTCTAGTCTCTTCCATATTACAATAAAAATGAATGCTGCTTTTCAGTCTTCCATTGAGCTATTAGTTCTTAGTACTGTATGTTTTCTATTATCAGAAAGTTTTGGGGTTTTTATTATGTCTGTTAGATTTAAAGGTGAGAATTGGGCAGGTCATTTGAACTCAGATGAATTCTTGATGTTATTGTCAAGGCTTTGTACTACTAAATTTTGTTACAAGACTAATTGTACTAGCAGAAAGGATCCTTTTCTCAAATTTGACAATGTGTACTACTTTGGTACTAGTCTAAGATACACAGCTAACATCACCTTGGTGAAGGATACTGGTCAATCTTTGCTCTGTAACTCTAACATGAAATCAAATTCATCTTACTGGCTGAGGCTTTTTATCTTGCTAAAATTAGAAGAAAAAGACCTGTCCTAGTTCTTGGCCTGTTAGGTTTTGGTGTCACTTTCAACTTATTTTGAAATAAAACTCAGCTTAAGGCTTGAATGGGGATAATATAAGCAATGTGATGCTATCTAACAGAAACCAGTAAACACTATGTGGAATCTTGCTATCCAATATGAAATGTAAAAGCTGCAGTTCTCTCGCATTTTTCAACAAATGGTTAAAAGGACCACTAGTTACTAGGGGAGATGTTTTTAGGTCAATTCATTCAGTTGTCAGAAAATACATTTAGTCTTATTAAATAATACTCAGGTTTTATTGTCTAGCAATTTAGATCTATTCCATACATCCTACTTTATACACTTTCTATGTTCAATAAAGAAACTGCCAATCTTGTGTGCCCTTTCATTGTATATTTTGAAAACTTCATAATTTAGTCTACTATGAACAGCTACACAGTAAATTTCACTTGAGCCTTTGTGGAAAGGTTAATGTGAACTGTTTTTAAAATTCTTAATATATTTTGGATAGAAAGGATTGCCTAAAAACATTTCACAAGCTTTTGCTATTAGCAGTGGACATGCTACTGGATCAGTTTGTCAGTGATTGAGTGACTTTCGTTTAAGGATGCACAGAAAAGGTGTATTTTTAGGCTAAACAGAAGATAAATTTGAAATCTTCCTTTTGAAGAACAAAGCATAATCATTGTGGGGCAAGGTAGAGCTTCAGGTTGTGATTAAAGATTAAAATACTCTACACACTGCAGTATACACTGTTGTCAAGTTCTTGCTGAACTGCAAAAATCTTTTTTTTTGCTGTTTCTGTCAATTGGATTTGAGACTATTGAATCATTTCACTTAAAAAAAAAAAAAAGAAAGAGAAACAAACATGCATGTTTTGCTGCTAAGTGTGAGATAACTGATGCCAGCATGAACCCAGCTTGTTATGATAAACGTTTTAAGACAAGACAGTTTGCTGTAAAAGTGCTGTTTCCTTCCAGGTGAGAGGGTGAGGATCAAATTTACCAACATATCTATTACAGGTTTTACAGTGTTTTTTAGGGGATAAGGCTGTCACATTGTGAATATGGAATCATTGCCATTTTTCTTCTTGTTTTGTGAGTTACATTCTTTTGAACAGATGGACAGTAAGGCATGGACGTAGTGCTGCTATCTTAAAATAAAAAATAAAATTGTGCACAGGTACACTTATTTAAAAGGTTTTTTGCCCATTCAGGAAACCATTGCTTGTGATCTGTAACACAGAAACCAAATGAAGTGTGTGTATACATGCATATATGTGTATAAAATTATATAAAATATATCTAAATATGCATATGGGGATAGTTAAGGTAATGTCTGTGAAATAACATAGGATGCTTTTCACATGCAGTCTCAGAAGTCCACTAACACTAGGCACAAGGTCAAGTTTCAAGATTGTTTGCTACACTGACATTTCAGCAGTTAATGGTAATTGTTTGCCACAGATGTCAGTCAGTGGCAGTCACTCCCAACTTCTGCTTTGATTTTGAGGCCAAATTTAGTTATGTTGCAATCATTATTAATTACTTGAAAAAGGAAATCACCTACACATGGCAATTCATACCTTCTATAGATTAGGTTTCTTTGTATGGGTTTAGAAGGACAGTAATAGCTGGAGAAAATCAATTATTTATTTGTTCACTTGTATTTAGGTTTCCTTTTACATACGTTCTTTTTATATGCTTTTTCTGACATTACATATTTAAAAAAAACAGAAAATAATTTAAAGATTTGAGCGTTAGTGGGTAATGGCCCACTTGGTTTGAAGATGTAAGATTTGATACTGTACTGTAACTGTCACACACAATGCTTTTCTAATGTTTTAACATAATTATTGCAGTTAATACTTTGTACCAGGGGGATGTCACTGCAATAAAAGGAAGTGAATTCAATACAACTGTCTTGTCTAACAAAGCCTTTTTTTACTGGTGGGGAGATAGGGAATAATGTTCATAGCTTAAAAGATTAATGCTGAATATAGTTCCTGATATGTGAATATGCTTATTGCACACATCTGATAATGACCTTTATTGTGGAATTTGCACGGGACCATGAGTAGAACTTAAAGGCATTCAGGTGTTTGGTATCAGGAGACAAACGTTTTCTTCCCAGGGGCACTGTTTCGCCGCTACTGGGTTAGGAACAGTCCACTAATGTACATTTAAATAGAAATTAGTTGAAAAATCTAATGAGAAATGGCAAGTTGTTTTTTCATATCAAGTGATACTTAGAACCACTGAAGAACTTTTTAACTTCATCAATTTCAGTGTTTCCCAGTGAAGCTGGGTGACTGAGAATTTTTATTTGAAAATTAACCTCTAATAAATTCAGATCTCTACTATATATCCTTAATTTACTAAATACTTATTAAGTTTTTCCATGCATTTAGATTTAGGCCTTGAGAGGTTTAGAGGCCAATGGAAAGGGAATGTGTGTTAAAAATACACTGGCAACTTCTATGGCATTGGCTCTAACCTGTTCCAGTATGTAAAGAGGAACAGGAGAAGGTATGTAGCAGTTTTTCCTAGATCCTCCTGTTTGCTGGAGAAGTGGTTGATTTAAATAATGGCATAGTACCATTAACTGAATTCACAGATAAGTGACTTCACATGTGCTTTCAAAGCTTAAAAAATGACAATTGCATTAAGGTTGAGCTCATCACTTGGCTACACAAACAGTGAAGGTTCACACTGCATGGTAACCTGTTTTATTTGGAAACAGGAAAGCAGGACTCCCTTCACGTTCTCCATTAGTCCAGTTACACTTCTTGTATAACCTCTATGGGATCCTGTATATCTTGCCTATACACCTAAAATGTGGTTTACGTTCAGCTGGAGTGGCAGCTAAGCTTCTTGTCTGTGAGACTGGAGTCATGGAATGGTGTTCTGCTTCACTACCACTGCCTTGCTCCCCTTTGGTCTAGGGCAAAAACTTCTGGGCACTTAGCAGTGCATCATCAAATCTTTCTTGCTACTCTGCCACTCGACAGCATGGTGTGGAACAGGTTTTCAGAGTTAAGACTGTGGATTAGGTTGATGGAGGCTGATGCCTGCATTTATAAGTGGGAAACAAGCTGGTGGAAATCATCACTTCAACTTTTGAACTGGAAGAGTAAATGCTGAAGCACGCACCTTCTCCCAACAGAATCGGGGAAGACCTTTCAATTGAAATGTAAGGTGCCTCTTATGCTCAGAGGTCCATCTCACATGACAAAAGAAACTGTACTCCATCCTTCGGGCTGTATCCATCAAACTTGATGACAAGGTGCACCACTAGAAGTTACATGTGTGACCAGGTGTCACCCTGTTCCTACTGCTGCTGGTAGGCACAGAATTGAGAGCAAAAAAAGGAACCTGAGAGCAGTTTATATGCTGGTCTCACCCTTGATCTGCTTACTTTCTCTTCCAAAAAACGCTGGCTTTGCAGATGAAGGCATCTGCTTTCCACCTTGCCCTCTGCCAGCCTGTCTCCCTTCCCCGCCTGCACT